GGATTCCGTGCATCTGGTGGCGAGCGTAGCGAGGCCACTCCCCCGCAAGCGAGCCTTTGCTCTGGAGCAAATTTCATCCAGCTGCGTTCACACGTGCACATTTGTTTCGGCGTAGCGTCGCAAACGAGCATTTGCTCTGGAGCAAATTTTTAAACCACCTCCCTGAGGTGGATCAAATTTGGTCCGGTATAAGCTCTTTAGTGGAGCTACGCCGGAGCAAATGTGCACGTGTGAATGCTCGACTGGATTTGTTTCGGAGCTGCGTCGGACCAAACGTTGTCGTGTGAACGGGGCTTTAGTTTAAGTGATGTCGTTGGCATTGGCAGAGCTAGACTTTTAACCTTGGGGTGAGGGAGAAGTGGGGGTGTGGCATGGCCACGCCCATCTCAGGTAGTCAGCAAAACAAAAACACAAAACTCACAGATCCGCACGCACGCACGCAGAAGATACTGACAAACATCCATTATGTGTTGCTAACGGAGATCGGAGAAAAATGTGGAAATAAATTCACTGAAAAAAAATCTGAAAATATCCAAAAATCAATTTTCTGGTCTGGTACCTGGGGTTCCAAGCATATTTTAAAAATGGGGTGAGGGGGGTGTTTCGGTCTTGACTCGTAAGATGCATCCAGTGCATGGTTGTGTTCACGAGGCTTCACGGTGAGCTGCAGGCCTGATAAGAAGTGCCGGCCTTGAGGCCGTAAAAGAGGATTTAGCTGCACCAGTGTGTTTACAAGTCAGGAAGAAAACGACAAACTCGATCACATTAGAAGCAGCATGTGCATGTGTATTTATGCGTCCGCTAAATTGAACAGGACTAGCGGCCGATGACACATGCAAACATTTTGGTTAAGATTTCTAACAGATGTAAAGTGTCTTGCGAATGGCTGGGTCATTTTTTTTTTTTTTTGTTCATAAGTGCAACGACTGACGGAACCCTTTCTACGAAAGTGCAATGTTGTGCATGCAGGAGGATGAGTGAGTGTCACTGTCCTTTTGCAGATGACTTCAATATGTGCAACACTTGACATCTTAGCTTTTGTTGTCCTTCATATGCATTCTTTACACATACTTACACAAAAATACATTGTTTTCCAACATTTTGTTCTTGGTTCTTAGTGTCTTGTGTTTGTGAAACATATTGGTGCCTCTGGAACATTGACTGGTACAATGTTACAGCACAGTGACTTTAACAATAGTGTCTAATTGCTGTTTAGAGGACAGTGTGTGGTGTAAGCCAGCGGTAAAAATGCAGTCTGTCTTAAACACACGAGCAGTATGGTATCTGCGTGCCGGAAACTCACTACCAAATCAGTGTCTGCCTTAAACGCAATATAAATGGTCAGTATTGTCTGTCTAGACACACTGACTCGATGGAAACACATAAACAGTAAGGATCAGCTCTCTTTAATGGTATACGTGTCCGTACAGTGACAGCAAAAACACTGTACTGTATACTCACTGTAACAATGCAGTACAGTGTCTTAGTAAAACATTGGAGAGCAGTGGTTCTTTCTCAGCTGTTGTCACCCTGTGATAGCATCTTCCTGTTGTTGCAAAGTCGTGACCGATTTTAGAGACCTTAATAATATTTTTTTTCCCATCCGTCCATGATCTGAACCGCTTTATCTTCGCGAGGGTCACGGGCATGCTAGAGCCTATTCCACCTGTCTTCGGGCAGTAGGCGGGGTACACCCTAAACTGGTTGCCAGCTCATCACAGGGAATGCATTTTTTAAAAAAATAAAATAGCCTCTGAAATTACATTTACACGAGGTTACATTTTTAAAAAGTTTCTAACATACCGCCAAAAGCATATCACTAGGTATGATGCCCGTTAGCCGGTCACGGGCATGCTAGAGCGGTCACGGTACCAACTGTCTTTGGGCAGTAGGCGGGGTACACCCTAAACTGGTTGCCAGCTCATCACAGGGAATGCATTTTTTAAAAATTAAAATAGCCTCTGAAATTACATTTACACGATGTTACATTTTTAAAAAGTTTCTAACATACCACCAAAAGCATATCACTAGGTATGATGCCCGTTAGCCAAAAGATTAGCTGCATTGTATTTTTGTACAGATAAGCTAGTGACGAGAACACAAGTGAGTAACATTTTCTCACGCTTATTTATGCGTATTATATGTTCTATGTGGGAATTTGGTACGCCTTAGTGCTATGCGGCAAAAAATCTGAATACAAATACATGTCATTTTTTATTAACTGTCTGCGACTCATCTGACATGGGTCCTCGACCCACTTTTGGGTGCTCACTGTTACAATACAGTTTCTACTGTACTGTAACAAGAAGACCTTATATACTCACTGCAAAAGTACAGTGTTTGTAAGGCTCTTTTCATCCAAACATTGACACCCATCTGCTTCTGTGTGGTACATTTCAGTCAAAACACTTAACTGATACCAACGAGCAATGGCAAAACAAACAGATTGAAGGTATTTCAAGGACAAGTGTGGATTTTAGTACCAAATAAAAAATGGTTTGATGCACTCAGTCTAGGTCTTGATTTGACAACCACTTCCAACTGCTGCTCATCCACACTTAACCCACAATTCCCTTTAAATACTGTACAAGTAATCGAACAGGTACATGACACTGACCGTGGGCTTGTGCGGCCGAGCTGTGCGAGTAGCCGAGGGCCAGCAGTGCCGTCTCCACCAGCTGGGAGAAGAGAATGTCCTTCCGCACTAGAACAAACTCTGCGTGCTCCTCCCTTCCGTCGCATCCGTCTGCCTGGTTCCCACTGTCCGCCTGCTCCACCACGCAGAAGACGGGAATCATCAGACCTAGTGGAGGAAGAAGAAAATAAAAACTCCTATTAGATTTGAGACAATATTGTCTGTTATTCTGAGAGAAGCTGCGGAGAAGAAATACAGTTGTAGCAGCTATAGCACACACACACACGCACGCACGCACGCACGCGCACGCACACGCACGCACGCACACACACACACACACACACACATTCATTCATTTTTCAATCAGCCTGCCATGCATGTTTTTGGAATGTGGGAGGAAACCGGGGTACCCGGAGAAAAACCACGCAGGCCCCGGGAGAACATGCAAACTGCACACAGGAAGGCCGGAGCCGGAATCTAACCCACGACCTCTGCACTGTGAGGTCAACGCGCTAACCACTGGATCACCGGGTCGCCGCTTTGAGTACACCTTCAAACTCAAATCATGATTCTTAATTTTGCACACATCATATATAGCAAAATAAATATCCAATGTATATACGCAAGCGGCCCATTGGTCCAGTGGTTAGCGCGTCGACCTCACAGTGCAGAGGTACCGGGTTCAATTCCAGCTCCGGCCTCCCTGTGTGCAGTTGGCATTTTCATGTCTGTGCGGGTTGTCTCTGGGTACTCTAGATCAGGGGTCCCCAACCGCCGGTCCGCGGACCGGTACCGGTCCGCAGGGCATTTGGTGCCGGGCCGCACAGAAAGAACTTGCCTAATTTCCGTTTTATTTATTTTGGAATACGAAAGATGTTTTATTTTGAAAAATTACCGGATTCTCTGGTACATCCGTCTGTGTCACGCTTGACTCACGTAAAGCTACGCTTCTCGGTCACGTGACCGACGACGCTCAAAAACAAAACACCGAAGCCCGCAAAATGAGTAAAAAAGCTGCTTGGAGATCGCAAATGACGGCGGCCTTAAAAGTACGTTCGAAACAACTGGATCAAAGTTATGGCTGAATACTCTGAGATCGCCACAATAGCACTGTTGCTATTTCCGACATCCTACCTGTGTGAGGTGGGGAGTTTCTGCAGCAACAGCGACTAAAACAAAATTACGAAGTAGACTGGACATAAACCACACACTTGAGGTGTCATTGTCTCCTATTACCCCGAGATGGAACTGTCTGATTGCAGAAAATCAAGCTCGGGGCTGTGGTGAGTCGTCATTTTCATGCACTTTGAATTTGCGTTGTATCGTATTTTGAAGGCATTAAACATTACCAGAGCGATAAGAGTGTTGCGACCAGATTAGACGCTCCTTGTGTTTATTATTATATTTCGAAAACACCACAGTTT